ATAAATTATCAAGGGTTCATGAGGGAAGAGGGAGGGGAAAAAATGAGGAGGGGCTTAAGCCCCTGATGCCAGGGGCATAAGTGGAGAGTAAATGTTTTGAGAATGATGAGGGCAATGAATGTACAAATGTGCTTTACACAATTGATGTATGTATGGATTGTGGTAAGAGTTAGTTATATGAGCCCCTAATAAAATGATTTAAAAATAAAAAAATAAATCACAATGCTATTTTTTAGATTTTTGAAAAGCAATCTACTAAAAATAAGCAAGCACAGAAATTCCAAATCACTTGAATGAAATAAATAAAATCTAGAACTATCTTATAAAAATTATGAAATTAAAGATGAATCATTAGCTAGCATGAATAGTGCTTATGTACACAAAAATGCATACACAGACCCAAAAGGAAACAAGGATACAATGGGTCCCTCAAAAGGAGCATAGAAGTCTAGATCTCCATGCGTTTTCTCACATCTTTCACATTGTTTTGTTCGTGTCACTCTAACAGTAATGTCCTTCTCAAGTAGCTCCTACAGTCAACAGTTTTCATAAAAACAACCTCCTGTCAACACTCACATTTTGTTCATTTACAAATCACTTTCTTACAAATTACTTTGTTAAAATAACAAGTTTAAGGACAAACAGCTAACACCTGGGAAGAACAAACTTCAACTGGTAAAGTGTGCACGTGGGGTGGGCCAGATCATACGACAGAAGTTTCACAAAGGAAAGGAAGGAAAGAATAAAGGAGAGATTAGTTTGAAGAGTTGCTACAATAGATGCTATTTATAAGACATACCACACAAGGAACATAATGCAACTCTAATATACTATGTAACCTCAGCCTTAAACCAATTTTAAAAACCTTCAAGCCAATAAAGACCATCAAAATAAATTTACAAAAACAAGCCAAGAAATGTTCCCTTGATGAAGGACATAAGTAGGAAGGGCATAATAGTCACAATTAATTTTAATCATAATACAAGAAGCTCCAAATATTAGTAATGCAGCCCTATAACTACATCACGTTTTACAATTCATTGTTTAATATGGCAAGAAAGTGCATCATTTGAATAGATGGTCTCAATCTGCCTTGCTTTATCTTTTAGAACCACTTTGCTTTAAGGAAAATTGCTGCTAATCGGAGTGCATGGGCACATGGATGGTGTAATGATCAAGGTCATGTTGAGCTCCCTCATCTGCAAGAAACACTTTTAAAAATAGGATCTAAGTTGTGCCTAATGTTTACACTCACTTTGGTCTTGATTTTATGGCCAGTAAAGTATTTCCACATAAGGGAAGAATCTATTCAGTAAATCCTTTTACCTCACAATCATCATCTGATATTCTGACACAGCTTTTAGTTAAAATACTATAAATACTTAAAAATGTGATAAAATACTTTTTACACTAGCAAGGAGGACGGATATAACAGTAGGAGAGGAAAAGAGAGCAATGGTCCTGGATGGCCAAGCATTCCTGTTAAAAGGAGAGCATGCCCACCACGAGCAGAGTTTAACCAGGAACATTTGAAGCAGGAGCACACACAAAGGCTACTTTCCAGTGCAACTAGAGCTCCCTCAAATACGACTGGGTCAAGCACTACATTAGAAGGTACTACTGGGCAGGAGCTTTGTCCAGTTGTCTAGCCATTCCAGAACAAGCGTGTTATGGATGGAACTGTGTCCCCTGCAAATTCTAGCTTCTACATGTTGTAAATCCTGTTTCTATGCCCGTGTAATCCCGTTTGGGAATGGGTTCTCTTTGTTATGTTAAGTAGAGAGGATTGGTATAGGGTATAGCTTGAGAAATATAGCAGAGATTAAACAAACGCTAACAAGCAGAAAGGAGAAGAGAGATGACAGGTAAAGACTGCCAAATCAAGAGTACCCTGGAGAAGCTCAAAGGTTATAAGGAGATTTCTCTAATATTGGAGAGCCAGAATTGGGGCTTCAAGCCTCCTAAGCTGTAGAAAATGCATGCATTCGTTGAAGTCACCATTTGTGCCAGGGAACCGAGGCAGTCAA